CAACATTTGACAGAAATGCCAACCCCAGTTACCTCCTTGGTCAGCACACCTCAAACCATTTCCTCCTCCAGCTGATGTCTGAAGGAGCCAGAAGTCAGTTCTGATCTACAGACTTGTGCTGATCAGCTGCTGAGCCTGAGATAGGAAGACAGAGGAACGTGTTTCAACTAGCCTTTAAAGCAGAAATACTTAATCCTATAAAAGGAAAACCTATATTTAAAAATACATAGAATGCCAAAACTAATAAAGTATTGAACTGAGACAAGGTCATGCCTTTGAGTTCTTCTCCATGAACAGCACAATGAGACATCAGAGCAGGCTAAGGGAAATTTGAAGGAGAAACTGAGGGAGAGGAATAAAAGTAATGGCTAATCTAGAGGACATGGGTCAAGCAAGTTGTTTCCTCTTCCAGAATATGTGGGCAAGACAATACTCATGCAAATTCAGTGCTGATACGTTTCAGACTGTTAGAAGGGATAGGTAAGGAGATGACAGCTGGCACAACCCCATGTGAAACATCACTGAGGCCAAGGAATTAGGAAGACCCAAATCCCAAAGAACAAAAGCACTGTGTGTTCAGAGGAATGAGCCATGCTTGACTGGACTGCAAATGGCCAAAGTACAAGGGATGCAGAAATTCAGAGCTCAGAAAGGCAGCGTGGCATAGCAGAGAGCATTGCTGGCACACAGCAATGGCAGGTTCTGCAGAGCAGCTTCCCTGCTGGCATCACTGATGCTCTCAGCAGAGTGAGTGCCCCCGAGGGAATCCAGCAGCTCCTCCCAGCAGGAGGGGATCCTGTACAGGGCTGAGGGCAGGTTCTGCACACATTTGTGAATAAAGAACATTTCAGTGGTTCAGGTTAGCGGGGCACCAGAGGTATGGATAGACTGAGAATGAGGATGGAGAGTGGCAGCTCTATAAGATACACTTTGTGGGGGGAAAAACTCTGACTTTGAAGTGCAAAATTAATAGCTTTGCTTTTGCCTGAAGTGTTCATTGCTTATATGGTCTAGATGATTAAAGATCTCTCTAGGGAGCTCGGGAATTCTAATGCCATACATATATAACTTTGTCATGAAAATCTGATGACAGAAAAAGAAGGAGGATCAAATGAGCTTGTAAGACTCACTGCAGCCAAATAATGCAGAAATGCTTCATTTTTCCTGCAGTGAACATTGGTTCACATTTTTAAAAATGAATTTGCTGAGGCCACATTCACATACCACCACTGGTTTCCCACAGACCTTTGAGCAATTGAGTTTGACGGGCAACAGAGTTCTCAGAAAGTAAATGTCAGTCAAGGAAACCAAATTTTAAATTCATATGGGCCAATATCCACCCCAGAGGCAGCTCTGTGTTCCTTCAGCCCTCAGGAAGCACAAACAATATTGTGTAACCAATCCAGTGCTGTGCAGCCAATCACAAACCAAACAACACATTTCCACTGGAGATTTTATACAATAAATACTCACCAAAAGACATTTTAAGGACAATTAAATGCATTTAGATTAGTAACAGCAAACACCTAAGAGAACTGTGATGTACTGCCTGGTGGAAATGGTGCTTACAACACCAAGCCAAGAGTTCAAGAAGTGTTTGGACAATGATGTGATTCTTTGGGTGTCCTGCTCAGGGCCAGGAGTTGGATTTGATGTGCCTGATGGGTCCCTAACAACCCAACATATTCTATGATTCCGTGGTTCTATGATTCCATGACACACTGCAGCACCAGCAGAAAACCTCCTCCCCTGCCCTCTAACCTGCCAGGCTTCACAGCCCACCCATTAACACAAACCCACTGCTCTCTGGGGAGTAAAAGCAATCATTCCACACACATTGGAAGAAAGTATTCCCCCAGAGCAAGTCAGGAAGCAAAATGCAGAAAAGCTGCAATATTTACATATTCCTTTAAAATCATTCCCTGACTGAGGCCTGCAGGACTGCTACATTAAGCCACTCTCCTCCCTCGAGGTGTCTCCATTTTATTAGAAGATTAGGCAGTTTTTTTCTCTTTTCATTTCTGTATTGCAAACTCTGTTTGGCTGCCACATGACAGGCAAGAAAAACAACCTCACTGCAGCGCTTGCAGGAGCCAGACTGAGTCTGCTGCAGACCCCTGCTATTTTCTGAGAGGACATCTCCACCTCTTGGGGCTGGATCACAGCGGGGAGCTGCTCAGGGATTACTCAGAATCGTGGTTTGTGACTCACTATTCATATGCAAGAGCTCCTCTTTATGCTAAAGTTGTTTCAGACAGGAAGGGGTGAAGCAGATGGGGCCAAATTAGGGGTCAAAATGAACGGGTAGGGACCCATGAGAGAGTTAAATTTCATGCTCTTATTGGACATGAACATAATCTTAGGAAGGCATGTCAGTGATGGTCAGCCATATGACAATATAAAGAATGCAAAAGCCACATTGGAAGATTTTCCTAGAAACTGGATATGGGTGTGTGGCCATGACATTCTTATCAACAGCCCCAGCAAAACCCAGCACTCTGATACTCAGCTGCAAGCAGGGTTTCACTAGAAATCACATTAACCACTAGCTCCTACCCTTAAAAGGAATCAGATTAGCAGCAAGAGGCAAGCCTGAGGTCACAAACTTGCTGCTATTTGTTTGGGTTTTGGAGTAAATGCCGTGCCAGCTCTTCGGCCTGGGAACAAAGTTTGAGGTTGAAAAGTGCTTCTGACAAAACCAGCTTGATGTGTGCCAGGCTACAGGCAAGGCTTTTCAGAAACAAGTGTCCAAAATTAGACATTGCAAAATCATGTAGTCCAGTGAAACCATGTTTTCTTTCCCACCTTGCATTTCTTCCACTTCAGCCCAGACTCAAGAAAGCACTTAGGTACATATACATAGCAGAAATTACCATCATCTTTGCTCCATATTCACAGAAAAATGCACTTTTTTCCAATTCACATTAGTTTTTCACATTCAGTTCAATTCATTTTTTTCCACCCTTGCAGATCATGAGAACTCTTTTCTCACCTGTTTTTTTTTCCTCTGAAATGAAGTTTTGGATTATTTTTTTCCCTCTGTGGCCTTGTATTTTCTTAGGATATAATTACACTTTGCTCTTCCTATTTCTAGCTTCACGAGATTAATCTCTGACATTTCCAGAGAAATGCCAAATTTGAGGACTTTCTGAAAAGTTCATTAAAGTACTCAGTCCTAAATCAACAACAAAGGCATTCATTAAATGAAAGAGAACTTTGAATAATCCTCACTGATTCCTGATGGATATCTCTGACCACTCAAGCACATCACAGTGAGGTACCTGAGAGCTCCAGATCATCAAAGGAAAAAACATGAGATACTTTATCCCTTTTCCTGCCCTAGTGCACACATGGCACACTCCAAAGCAAAAAGGAACAACATTTCTGATAGCTCACTGCTCTTCCAACAGAAGCACTCTTACAATGAGAAGTAATATTTTAATTAACAGTTGGAAAGCACAGTCTAGGGATGAGGTAATTTCTAATGATTGTGATGGGATTTGAAAAGGTGTGCAGTGGTACCAAGAAGTTACTGACCCTGTTGTAAATTATTGGGTAAGGTCCTCTCCCCTACACTAAGCAAACAGCCAGAGCAGTCACCCCAGCATTAAAACCTACAAACCTGTGAAAAATTCACTGTGGTTGATACACTGCAGCTCATAATGACTATTTTTTGTCCACAGTGCTGCTGTTTGTTTCAAACCATTTAGCAATATTCATTAGCTCCCCACTTCAGATTAGGGTAATTGAGAGTAAGAGAACATGCAATCAAGGTTTTTACTGAGTGAGACGTGCCCCTTTCCCTTCTCTGACTCAGGTGTTGACTCTGTTGACTTGCAGTCAGGTTTTACCAGGAATCTTTCTTGAAAAATGCCAAATGTATCACGAAAAATGTGGTGCTGCCTCTTTCTTAAAATCTCACCATCACTGGAAATTTTAAAACATGTTTCTCCTCCCATGTATTATATTATTTTACAAGAGAAGGATATTAAACTCCAACACCAAGGCTGTTGTGCCTCTGATCCTATTTTATGGCTGAAACCACAGACCCTGAAGCCCAAGAAAAACTCATGTGTGTCAACAATCCTTAAAATTAATACTAAAACATAATCTTACGACAAAAACTATGTCAGCCATACCATTGTCTGGGATAGTTCAAATTCTTCCTCTCCAGGAATGTCAGTCACCCACATTAAATGACTCCCAGCTGAGACATGAGAACTGGCAGCAGCATCAATACCCACGGAGCACTGGCTGGTACAGCTGATAGACAGATGGGATCAGAACAGCAGCAAAAGGTAACACTGAGCCTGGACAAGCAGCTCAGGAAATTTGGAGAGTGCCCTCAGGTTCCTACTCCAACAAGTTTTATGTCTGACAACAGGCCAGTCATCTTTGGCTTTGCCTGCCTGAAATTCCCATCTGAAAAAATATAGTGAACACTGCCTCCCACTAAGGAGGTGCTGAGAGCCCACAGGAATGCCATAACCTGAGATAGGCAATAAATGTATAGGGGAGCCAGAATAAAAAACCTTTGTGTCTTCAGAAAAATCAGTTGTTGGAGAAGACAAATCAGGATAAAAGAGTTTAAACTCTGTGTCTTCAGCAACACTGTGTGTGTACCCATGCAACATGCACAAAAGCAACCAAACTATTTCCGTTTTGTAATAGCAGTGTTTTCATAACCATCAGGGTCCAGAGCTGTCAGAAAAGACCTGAAGGAAAGGTTGTACCTGTCACTCAAACAGCTACTAATATAGTGTGAAAAAACAGCTGAGCTCTTGCACATACAAAACCTTCTGCATGTACTTTTGCTACCTCACAGCCTTCCTGCAGAGACAGGGAATAAGTGTAATTCCCATCTGCCAAAAGATAATCTGAGTTTGAACGGCCTGCTGAATGCTGCATGAGAAATTAGCCTGACTTTGATTCAGCTCAAGTTCCCAGTGCTCCCTCCACGCTCCTCACTGCGTGTCAGGACCCAGTTTCAAGTTCATTACCTTTGTGTTTTGAATTAGTGCCTACTGCCTGCATACAAATGTACTGTCTGCAGCCAACATTCCAACAGCTCTCCAAACCTGAGAAAATCCTCAGAAGAGATGCAGTTCCCTCCTTCTAGCAGTGTTGCACGAGTCAGGTTCCTGTGTGCTGTTGCCTGTTCTGCCATGAATTTCAGCAGCACCAGGGCACTCTGTTAAATCCCCTCCCAACCTCCTCTCTTCTGGGTGGGCACCAGGACTCATCAGGATGTGTGTAGGATTTCACCTGGGAATGGTGCAGATTAACAGCTTCAACCTGCTTTGCACTGCATGGATGGGAGACACTTCCAAACTATGGACCATGAAATTAATAAGGGATAACTACGTATTTCTTAAAATTATCAACTGCTGCTTTGTGCTGGATTTCTCTGGCTGATTGCACAAAATAGCAAAATGCATGTCCTTTATTTATGAATGCAAAAAAACCACAGTATGTCTCATGTCTCTGCTAGTTCTTGATAAGAGGAGCATTCACCCTGTGATTCTGCAACTGGTGTCACCCCAGATGTGGAGATTGCCCAAACTCTGCCATAATTCAGTTGGTTTTATGCTTCCTTAGAGCTGGTGGTGGGGAGCTAACTGCTGTTGGCTCCCTGACATTTTACACCATTCAGTGCCTGTATCAGCCTGATATGCAAAACAGCTTCTCCATTTGACCATATGAAACACGTTAAAGAGACTTGCCACACATTTGCAATTAGGTGCTGAAAAATAAAGTGACAAGGCTCAATGTCTGCTTGGAGAAAGCTCTTGGTTAAACCAACAAGTCTGATTTCCACAAACCTGTAGAGGAAAATGTTATTTTTAAAAAGTTCCTTGTTTTTTGTTATTTTATTTTATTTTACTTTATTTTTTCCAGGGTATGAGAGCTGCAGGATCAAGAATAGATGATGAGTTATAAACCTTTCAAAGCAGAGATTTGGCATGGGAATTCTGACAATCATCAATGTGAGCAATGCCGCCAGGCACCATTCACAATCCACAGCATCTTTCAAACCTGTCGGGGGTTTTTAGAAAGGGCTAAAAATAAATGCAGAAATGCAGCAATATATATTTACACACACACATATTATTGTTCAAAAAAAAAAGAACAGGTGGTCCTGCCAGCAGTGTAAACACAGATGACTCTTGAAAACAGCTAACAAACACCCAGCTGAGCAGCCTTTCCTAGCCATGCAAGCAGCACTTTGAGAACTCTCCTTGAGTTCTCCCAGCCAGAATCATCTGGGATCCAGACTCTCTGTCATGACAAGGCCTGGGTACTCCCAAGTGTCTTGATTTCCTCCACCCAATATATTCACACAATTCCACCCTCTTGACCTCCTGTGGATTATTGCCCTTCTGAAAATAACACACATGGAACAGCTGGTGGGGCCAGAAATGTCTTAAATGTAAATAGCACAAGTCCCTGTTTTCTAGCTCCCCACCACTTGATCTGAGCCCTATCCTCATGTAATGAAGAGGAGAATTCCCTGAAGGGGAAAAAGGATCAGGGCACTATGGACAGCCCAGAAGGATTCAAACAGCAAACGTGAGTGGCTGCATGTTGAAACCCATCAAGTCCACTACCTGCAGGGAAAGTGAAGAAGAAAACATGAAACAGTCCTGCAGTCTCAAAATTTATTCTATACCTGCAGGGAAAAAAAAAAAGGAAAAAAAAGACAAAAAGAAGAAAAAAACCCAAAACCATCAACATTTCAACCCAGATTTTGGTTATGTCTCCTCTGCCCACCACAGGAAGAAGACTGATGTCACTGGCTGAATCACACACATAAATCCTCCTGCATGGTCACTTCTCTCTGAGTATGAAAGCATGACAAAACAACTTTGCTAGGAGTCTGTAAGGCTCAACATCATCTCTTGGCAGCCCTTCTCTCCTGGCTGTTTTGAAAAGCAGCATATGTAATTTACACTTACACCATCTCCTTTTTAATTTCACCTCATCCCAAAACATTTGGTCTAATAGAAATACCCTTGGTTTGATATAGATCCACGAAAAGTAAATGAGGTGATAAAGCTTAGAAGTGCCAAATGGTTAAGTGCTGCCACAGGGGAGTACATCTGCCACAGCATCAGAGCACCGAGTCCCAGGATGCAGCATCTCGGGCACGGTGACAGACTGGCAGCTCTCCCACCCCACCTGGACTGCACAGGCACAGAGAGTCCACCTGACATGGCTGGGAACAGCTTATCCAGCTTGCTTCTGGAGGCTCTACTTCCCCCAGCCTTCCTGTGCAAGGGAAAAACACTCTCTCAAAGCTGAAGAGAAAACCAGCCTGCTGTTCTCCCAGAGCGGTGCATAATTGAGTCGGCGTGATGCCGCACACTACCAAATGCAGCAGATGGCTGCAGGCATCATCCAGTTTAGGATGACAAACTTGGAACAAAAGAAAAACAGAAGGCAGGGAATGCATCTTCTGCTCTGGGTTACTGGGCAGGGGCTGAACCGTGGCACAGTCGGGCCATCGCCAGCACACAGCCAGCTTCCAGCTCTGCCCCTGCCACACGGACAATGACCAAATGCCCAAGCCTGGAAATGACAAACAAAAGTGAGGGAAAGCCACATCTTCCCAGGTAAAAGAGGCAGGAAACTACCAGCTGTCTGATGACCTGTTTCTAAAACACATAAAAGAAAATCTCCAAAAATCCCCTCACAATGCCGGCCCTAAATATGACAAGTCTGACTTCCAGGACTCTCCCACAAAACCTGCAGGAATTCAGAAATTGAATTATGACCTCTGTGTATCGACACACATCATTTCACTGCTGGAAGGTAAAGCACTGATGTGAAAGCATGCAGAAAATGAGACAAGATGCTTCAGATCTGTACAGTGTACCATGAATGGTGCCTTGCAGGGAGGGCTCGGTCTGTGGTGGCATTTAGGGGTTTATTTTTGCCAAATCCACCCCAAAGGATCACAGACTTTAGGAGTGGAAACATTCCTTCCATTTCCCCAGGCGCCTTGCTCACAAAGCAGCTGCCTACAAGGTTCACCACAAGAGACAGACTGGAGGAGACAAGAGAGATACGGCTCCACAGGAAGCTGCACAGCACACTCAAACAATTTATTTATAAAGTTCAGCCCTTTGTGAAGGCAATACAGCTTCCATGCCCAGTCTGACTGGTTTATAATAGCCACTATGTTCAGCAGTCCTTGCAGGACACAGAGACACCACCATTAGCTCCAGAGTTGGGAATGGAGAAAGCTCTTTTGGCTGCAGGATGCTGCAGCCTGTGATCCTGAACAGGAATCCTGCACAAACTCCTGCCCATATTGCATTTGAGATTTCAGTGACCCCTTCAAGGGACCTGAGTGAAAGCACCTTCACTGCACTCAAAAAACCAGCCATGGGAACATTTTGGAGTGGAAGAAGTTTTTTGGAAGGGCAGGAAAACACTTTGTGCTACAGCAGAGCAGCCCGTCCTCCACCCAGAGGTGGAGCTGCCCCAAAACAAGGCTGGCACACAGAGATATCAAGCTTGGCAGGAGCTGCTTGTGGCCCTCTTTGGGCACTCACACCAGGCTGGTTAAGGCACCCTTCTCCAGCAGGCAGGCTCCCAGCCCAGCTGCAGCCTGTGTGGTGAAGAGCTGTGGGAGAACATTTCCAGTTCACTCTCCTCGCTGAGCAAAATGCACTTGGGAAAGGAACCAAAGAAGTCAGGGCAACACGTCTATTTTCTGACCCCTATAAATCAGGGGGAAATAAACCCAATTCCCTAAGGGGCATTCAAATGCTATTAGTGCCTCTACCATACCAAACATTTTATGGTAAATCTCTGGTTCACGCCATAAGGAGTTAAAGATCTTTCATAGAATGATAGAATGGTTTGGGTTGGAAGGGGACCTTGAAAATCATCCATTTCCAAACCCCCCCATGGGCAGGGACACCTCCAACTAGACCAGGTTGCTCAGAGCCCCATCCAACCTGGCCATCCTTTACCTTTGTTCAGGGACATGATGTTCACTTAGTCAGAAAAACAATAAACCACACCAACTCATTAGGGTAAATTATTTCTTTTTTTAAGCGTTATTTAATTTCAATCCACATGTGGAACAAAAAAACCTAATCATGCTAATTGGCCTCACACCTTATCAATATGTCAGCCACATAATGACTCTGTGACTTGGTCAAACTACAAAGCTCACTGTGACTCAGTTTCCTCTTCAAAAAAAGGAATATGTAAATGCAAACCTATAAAACCAGAGTGTTCTGAGGTGTGAAACATTTTTTCAGCACGGTAAAAGGCAAACGATAGCAATCTAATATTTCGCAATGACAGCAATCATTGCATTTTGGTTAAATTCCAACCAGGAGGAAATTTGCACTCTGCTTTCAGAGTGGAAAGTTTCCTGAAACTTGTTTGTTCATTAGAGCTCATTACTTTCCTTCAGTGAAAAAAATTTCACCCCTGGTGGCCATTGGATTAGCCTTCTGCTCCTCGTCTGGTCACAAAAAGCAACAGAAGGGTAAAAATAACAGGTCCTTTGAAAATGTTTCTGTAAAGATGGTGCATCCTAGAATAAATTTCTACACAGTTGGACAAAGGGAAAAAAATCAGGGCAACACCATTTGCTAAAAAATTGACAGCCGCCTGCTATTTTGGAGATCTCTCCTCTAATTGCAGGCACCTGCTGTGGCGTGGTGTACTCTAAAATATATCTCACCAGTAATGCTGCTTGGCAGCAGCCAGGGCCACCCGGGAGGGACTCTGCAGTCCCAGGCTTCACAACTTCACAGGAACTGGGGTTTTCTTCCAGGGTAACATTTGAGTGGAAATACAAATAAATTCAGTGTGAGCCTCTCTCCCTGCTCACTTCTATTACATCGCCTCTATCTCTCTTCCACCCTCCCTCCCTCTCCCTCTTAACTAATTTTTCCTGTTCCCTCTCCCTTCAGCATTCCTGACCCCTCACCCTCTTGCAACACAAAATTCAGGCTTGATTCCTTCGTTTGTTATCTCCTTGGCTTCTGAAA